AGAACTGAAGACCTGAGGGAACTGATGAAGGAGACTAGAAGGCTGCTGCCGTTGCCGCTGCTACTGCTGCTGCTGCTGGACTTGCAGCTGCCGCTGCTACTGCCACTGCCGCTGCTCTTACTGCTGCTGCTGCTGCTGTTCTTACTGCTGCTGCTGACAGAAATATACCAAAAGCTGCTGCTGCTGCTGACAGAAGTGTATCAAAAGCAACTCCCGGCACCAAAACAGCAAGGCACGGAAGGACGAACAGGCTACAGAATCGCACCGAAAAACTCTCTAACGTGACTTCTGGAATCCTACTAGAACTGAAGACATGAGGGAACTGATGGATACTAGGCTGCTGCCGTTGCCGCTACTGCTGCCGTTGCTCCTGCTGCTGCTGCTGCTGCTGCTGTTGCTGCTGCTGCTGCTGACAGAAGTGTACCAAAAGCACCTCCCGGCACCAAACCAGCAAGGCACGGAAGGACGAACCGGCTACAGAATCGCACCGAAAAACTCTCTAACGTGACTTCTGGAATCCTACTAGAACTGAAGACCTGAGGGAACTGATGAAGGATACGAGAAGGGCTGCTGCGTGCTGCTGCTGCTGCTGGTGCTACGACGGACAGAAGTGTATCAAAAGCACCTCCCGGCGGCACCAAAAACAGCAAGGAAGGCAGGCCACAGAATCGCCACCGAAAAAAAACTCCTAACGGGACTTCTGGAATCCTACTAGGAAATAAGACCTGAGGGACTGATGGTTACTAGGCTGCTGCCACCAAAAAAAAAAAAAAAAAGGGCCCACCTCCCGGCACAAAAACAGCAGGGCACGGAAGGACGGAAACAGGCTACAGAATCGCACCGAAAAACTCTTCTAACGTGACATATGGATCCTACTAGAACTTGAAGAACTGAGGGAACTGATGGATACTCGGCTGACTGCCGGTGCGCCGCTGCTGCTGCTGCTGGAATGCTGCTGCCGATGCTCCTGCTGCTGCTGCTGGCGTGCTGTGACGCGGGCTACTGCTGACAGAAGTGTATCAAAAGCACCTCCCGGCACCAAAACAGCAAGGCACGGAAGGACGAACAGGCTACAGAATCGCACCGAAAAACTCTCTAACGTGACATCTGGAATCCTACTAGAACTGAAGACCTGAGGGAACTGATGGATACTAGGCTGCTGCCACCAAAAAGCACCTCCCGGCACCAAAACAGCAGGGCACGGAAGGACGAACAGGCTACAGAATCGCACCGAAAAACTCTCTAACGTGACTTCTGGAATCCTACTAGAACTGAAGACCTGAGGGAACTAACTGATGAAGGACACTAGAAAGCTGCTGCCGTTGCCACTGCCGCTGCTGCTGGACTTTCTGGAATCCGACTAGAACTGAAGACTTGAGGGAACTGATGAAGGAGACTAGAAGGCTGCTGCCGTTGCCGCTGCTGCTGTTGCTGCTGCTGGACTTGCTACTGCCGCTGCTACTGCCACTGCCGCTGCTCTTACTGCTGCTGCTGCTGCTGACAGAAGTGTACCAAAAGCACCTCCCGGCACCAAAACAGCAGGGCACGGAAGGACGAACGGGCCACAGGATCGCACCAAAAAACTCTCTAACGTGACTTCTGGAATCCTACTAGAACTGAAGTGAAGACTTGAGGGAACTGATGAAGGATACTAGAAGGCTGCTGCCGTTGCCGCTGCTGCGGACTTGCTGCCGCCGCTGCTACTGCCATTGCCGCTGACTTCTGGAATCCTACTAGAACTGAAGACATGAGGGAACTGAAGCATACTAGAAGGCTGCTGCCGTTGCCGAGCTCGACTCATGGACACCACTCGAAACGCTGAAACGCCACCTAATTTCATGCCAAAAACGCTCCAAAAGGGACCGGGAAAAGTGCCTAACGTTGCTTCTAAAACCCTAGAAAAAAAGATCTTTTGCCTGCCCTCAAAGCCTAGAAAAAAAGATCTTTTGCCTGCCTTTGTGACAACTGTCTTGTCGCGTCCTGTCGCTTTGACGTCAGCTGCAACAGCTCGACTCATGGACACCACTCGAAACGCTGAAACGCCACCTAATTTCGTGCCCAAAACGCTCCAAAAGTTACCGGGAAAAGTACCTAATGTTGTTTCTGAAACCCTAGAAAAAATCACCTCCCGGGGGAAAACACCCTGCCTCTGAAGGACGAGCTAGGTCCAAAACCACGCCAAAAAACTGCCTAACGTGTCGTCTGAAATCCTAGAAAAACAACATTTTTCGACAGCTTCTGTTGCCTGCGGCTGCTTTTGCCTGCGCCTGCTGCAGCTAAACAGCTTCGAACAACCCACCTCCCGGGGGAAAACCCCATGCTTCTGAAGGACGAGCTAGTTCCAAAACCACGCCAAAAAACTGCCTAACGTGTCGTCTGAAATTCTAGAAAAACAACATTTTTCGACAGCTTCTGTTGCCTGCGGGTGCGGCAGTAAAACAGCTTCGAAAAAATCACCTCCTCCCGGGCGGAAAACACCATGCCTCTGAAGGTGTTGTTGTTGTTGTTGTTGTTGTTGTTGTTGTTGTTGTTGTTGTTGTTGTTGTTGTTGGTGTTGGTGTATGGACACCACTCGAAACGCTGAAACGCCACCTAATTTCGTGCCCAAAACGCTCCAAAAGTGACCGGGAAAAGTACCTAATGTTGTTTCTGAAACCCTACAAAAAATCACCTCCCGGGGGAAAACACCCTGCCTCTGAAGGACGAGCTAGGTCCAAAACCACGCCAAAAAACTGCCTAACGTGTCGTCTGAAATCCTAGAAAAACAACATTTTTCGACAGCTTCTGTTGCCTGCGGCTGCTTTTGCCTGCGCCTGCTGCAGCTAAACAGCTTCGAACAACTCACCTCCCGGGGGAAAACCCCATGCTTCTGAAGGACGAGCTAGTTCCAAAACCACGCCAAAAAACTGCCTAACGTGTCGTCTGAAATTCTAGAAAAACAACATTTTTCGACAGCTTCTGTTGCCTGCGGGTGCGGCAGTAAAACCGCTTCGAAAAAATCACCTCCTCCCGGGCGGAAAACACCATGCCTCTGAAGGTGTTGTTGTTGTTGTTGTTGTTGGTGTTGGCGTTGGTGTTGGTGTATGGACACCACTCGAAACGCTGAAACGCCAACTCACCTCCCGGGGGAAAACCCCATGCTTCTGAAGGACGAGCTAGTTCCAAAACCACGCCAAAAAACTGCCTAACGTGTCGTCTGAAATTCTAGAAAAACAACATTTTTCGACAGCTTCTGTTGCCTGCAGGTGCGGCAGTAAAACAGCTTCGAAAAAATCACCTCCTCCCGGGCGGAAAACACCATGCCTCTGAAGGTGTTGTTGTTGTTGTTGTTGTTCTTGTTGTTGTTGTTGTTATTGTTGGTGTTGGTGTTGGTGTTGGTGTTGTTACAACCTCTTTGCCCTGACGCGCTCCCCCTTGCCGTCGGCCGGGGTCGGCGGATTTAACATAGCCATGGAAAATCACAATTTTTAATAGGTAAACCATCTATTTCTATGGGCCATTTTCCATGGCTATGTTAAATAACCAGAAGGTATCAAAAATGGACACCGCTGTTTTGTTTGTTAACCACTCATGACTTGAATGACTTGGGAGCTGTTCAATTGTTTTATCCAAAGAGGGTCTTTTTTGAAGGGTTACTCATGAAATAGGAATCTGGAAATAATGGTTAATGGTTATGATTGATGGTTAACAATAGTTAATTATTATTAATCATAGTCATTAGCCTGCAGTGGTGAGGGACCGGTTCGGAGCTATGGTTGGATCCATATTCCCCCAAAAAGCCATGCCGAGCCATTAAAGAGCTGCGAATTGAGCTTCCCAACCGCGTGATAGATGTGGCAAACCCCATGCCAATGCCATGTTTGCTTCACCCAGCGTGTGGAGATGAATTTTAACCACCAATTGATGGTATTTTATGGTACCCTCCGGCAATTTGACATAGCTATTGAAAGTGGCCCATCTATAGAGGATTCACCTATTCAAAATGGTGATTTTCGATAGCTATGCTAAATGACCAAAGGGTGAGTCATTGGGGATGGTGAAAAACCGGACATTGACAAATTGGTATTGTACAATATGGATACAATATGATAATTCTCCTTATGAACATGTATGTTTCAAATATGCACCAAAAATGGTGTCAATCCCCCAACAAAGTGCGTTTGAAGGTTCAAGAGGGAGAACTCAACAACCATGAGGACTTCAGGCACTGTGCTACGAAGCCCATTGCAGTTAAGGTGTGGAAGACTTTCCGACAACGAAGCCCATACCACGTTCGTAGATACATTTTATGTACCCTCTGGTAAACTAACATAGCTGTGCAAAATCACATAAAATCACTATGTTTCATAGTAAATCAACTATAAATTGCCATTTTCTATAGCTATGTTAGTTTACCAGAGGGTATGCGAGTGTTGTGTTGCACTGTTGCATTGTTGCATTGCGGCAGGGATTGTGTTGCAGTGTCTTGTACTATCTTGTACTGCATTGTGTTTCACTGAATTCTCATGTCACGCCATGGTATGGGCTGTAATGGTACGTATATACATTTTTGCACACACATATTTTATAGAAAACTATAAATATGCATATATTCACGCACACACATACACACACATATATATATATACACATATGCACACACACACACATATATATAGATATCTATAATGTATATAATTTTCAAGCACACACACACACTTGGATACACCCCGAAGGGAGAGGATGACATGAGATGAAATGAAATCATGTCATGTTATGTTATGTTATGTTATCATGTCATGTCGGCATGGGTGGTTTATGGCTTAGCCACCTGGCCATGTCCGAAGTTAGAAATTTGCAGGTACGTTTACAGCTCCCATCATTGGCCTCTTCGTTGGCCACCAATGATGAGAGGGACGGCCCCCTGCTTGTACCCTTTGATTCAGGTTTTTTTTTTACACACAGACACATACGCAACACTTTCCAGCTGATCTCCAGGGTTCCAGGCGTTGGCCCCCAAGGCCCTGGCAGTCCTCCAAGTCGGAGGCAGATGTGGCGGAAAGCTCTGGGAGCATCGACCAATTGAGACGCGCCTTGCGGGAGGCCGGCGGGGCGAGCGCCTGGGCGTGTTTAACACCAGATCTTGGGTGATCAGCGATAAGACACTGGTAATGATAAAGCACGTGGAACAATGATCAAGAAAATATAACGAAAAAAAATGTGTATAGTAATGGCAAACAAAGGTTAATAATGACAAGGAATGGGAAATCAGACGATAAACACTGATAATGATAAAGAATAATAAGGATAACTGATCATGGAATCATCACCATCACAGGGTGAATGTGATACAAGCAAAAGATGGAAATACATGTTTGCAGGATGGATTGTAACGACGTCACTGCGACCTCACTGTAGATGGGATTTGGGCTGCTGGAACTATCCCCCGGCAAGGTGACCCTCCACCAAGAAATGCCTGTCACCGATAACTGGATCTGGGGTTTGGCTGAATCCTGATTCCCAATTTGTGGCCATTAACTTCATTATAACTAGACACTGTTACATTTACCTTCAGCAAATAATAACAGAATAGTAAGTGTAAATTAGGTAATGTAACTCCAGAGAACTATATATACAGTTAGCATGACATCCCTGCCAAATAAGGGGTTGGAAGATTACGTTTCCACGAAAAAACTTGGCTATTTTGCATCATCCCCTTGCGAACGGGGTATACCTTTCATACACCTCTATTGGGGGATAGTGTATTATTGGGTTTACCACATTATATTGCCATACTTATTATCCATGTATATATATATATAGTTACACACGTACGTATATACACATCGCATCTACTACAACTATAAATAAGGAAATAAATAAATAAATGCATTATATTACATTACATTACGTTGCGTTACGTGACGTGACGTGACATGACATGACATGACATGACATACATACATACATGCATACATACAGACAGACATACATACATAAACAAATAAACAACTAACCTAACTAGATAAATAAATAAACAAATAAACAACTATATAAATGAATGCATGAACAAACAAACATACACGCACACACACACATGCACAACCTCTCTATGATTTTCACCATTTCTCTCTATTTTGGAACATTTTGCTGCGTCATTTTCTCAATTTTGGAGGTGAACTCCCCTGGGACCCCTCGGAAGAGCCTTCTGCGCCAGGTGGTGGGTGTCACCACAGAGGAGTTGTTGGACCAGCCGCAGGCGGGGATACTGCCAAACTCTGGGTTTCGAATGGAAAAATCAACGATTTTGGTGATTAATTGGGAGTCTTAATGGGATTGTAGTGGGATACTTTACTGTATAGGATTGTCATGGAATTGCATGGAAAATATTGTTTAACCCCGGAGTGATAACACCACAGTTTATTCATATGGGGGGTTTCCCAAATAGTGATATTTCTCAAAAACAGCCGTATCCCCCCAATTAGTAGGGGGTTATTAATCCTCGGTTGATATTATTAAGAGTTTGCTATGGTATAGATGGCCCATTTATTTTGATGATTATGGTGGTTCACCTATTAAACATGGTTCAAAAATAACTGCATGAAATACCAGAGGGGATAAATGGTTATGATGTGAGGGAGGCCATATGATAAAATGGGCGCATCATCTATACACATGTGGTCATAATTTTTGATGGGGATTTCATGTAGTTCATACCCTCTGGTAATCAAGCACAGCGGTGGATACTCCACCATTTATAGATACATTTCCCATTAAAACCTTCATTTGTAGAGGATGTTCCATTTCCATGTTTGATTACCAGAGGGCAATGGGATCTTCATGGGGATGGAACCAGCATATTGCTGGATGGATGGCCACAAGGGGAAACATGTGATCATTTTGCTTCTCTATCTACACATTTTACCACCTTTGTATCTAGGGTGTCTTGTTGATACTGTAGATTTAAATCAACACATATCAATCATATGATTGTTAGGTTTAAATAACCACATATGTAGATCAAAACTGCCTTTTTTGTTGGATGGGACCCTCCTCCTTGCGACCGCTGTGGCAGGCCGAAGACAGCCCCGAAGATGATGCCAAGCTGTCGCCAGCACAAATTCGCGCTGTGCGCGAACAAAAGAGGCGCAGGGAGCGAAAGCCACAGGGTGTCATCAAACGTGGCTGACTTGAAATCCCCTATAAATGGAAGTTTATATACAGTACATGGGAACATTTATAAATGAAGGATTTTCAATTGCCACGTTGATTACCAACGGGTAGGTATGGTCCAAAATGGATATGGATTTGGGAGATGAACATCCATAACGCAAGCTATTTTAGCGTTGGGAGCGCAGGGTTTTGACCCATACCCAAATTATCAACCCCCAAAATAGCTGGTTGAGGTTGGTGTAGCACAAATAAATAATGCCAAATCTTTGGAGGCTTACTATTGGTGCCCCAAGTCTGTCAGATTCCCGGGACGATTTCAGCCTGGCTTGTTGGAGGGCCGCAGCCTGGGCGCTTTAGGCTTTGGTCCTTAGTGGTTTGGCAGTTATGACCCACCTAATTTCAAGACATGCAGTGGAAAAAAAGTCAGAAACGCAAACGAGAGAAGATGAAGACCCCTGCGTCAACAATATAATTTTTTTTAAATATTATACAGCGCTTGCTTTTGTGGACAACTCAATGCCATGGTTTCATCGATGTAAGCACCATTAAGACCTCATTAAAACACCCTTGAACCTCCCTCTTCCACCAATTTCCCATGCCCCTAAACTGGTTGGTTAACCCATTTCCTGGAGGTTAAAACCTACACCTGGGATTGAACTGTCAGCCAGGCCCATGTCATCCTTCGTCTCCACTAGCCGAGATCAGATGAGTTCTTTGGTTGGCCTCTCAGACAGATCGTTTGGAGCTAGCTTATGACCTGCAAAAGCTGGAAAGAACTGGAAGGTAAAGCTCGGAGATAGTATTGTCAGTATTGTATACATATAACTCATATTTATGAAATGAGAACTCTCTCTCTCTCTCTCTCTCCATATATATATATATTATATAATTATATATATATATATTGTTATTATTGTTATTATATCATATTCATATGTCCAATAGCGATTTCTGGAGCCTTGGAAATCCCTGATGGTGACCCCACCAAGGCAGTGGAGAATCGCTACAGGGCAAGAAGCTCAGTGGACGATGCTGTGTCACAATCATGAATATCATATCTATACCTATACCTATGTATATATATATACATATACATATATACATATATATATATATATACATACATACATACATACATATATATATATACATACATATATATACATATATATATATATATATACGTATACATATATATATATGTACATACATATATAGATATATACATACATACATATACATATATATATATACGCATATATATATACATACATATACACACATATATATATATATATGCACATATACATATACATATATACATACACATATATATATAAATACATATATTTACACACACATACACACACACATATATATATGTATATTTACATATATATATATATTTGTTGACCAATGGTAATATAGGTTGACTTTCCATCGATTTTGCAAGGGTTTCTCAATCCACATAAACCTTCAACAATTTGAATTTGATTCCAGACGATCTATATTATATTATTATTGCTTTTAGACCTGAATTAGATGACCAGTCAACTCAATTTTGATGTCCATTTCCTAGAATCGGACGATGGAACAAGTTGCAAGAAACTTCTCATTTCATAGTAAAGCTAACGGAACATCCGGTTGAAATTTGCCGAACAAAACCACCCCATTGAATGGACTATCACTGGTGAAGATCCAAGTATTTCACCTAGAAATCAACCTATAGAAATTCAAACATTCCAAGTATGAGCAGAATTGAAGTCACTTGAAATCAAACCATAATTTCTGTTTTTGTTCCCAGGCGCCGCCTCCGGGCTCATACCGACCGAGTACTCGCCTCTGTGAGCCCAGAGTCAAGACCCCGGCGGGGATCCCCAAGGGCCCAACGTTGGAGAAAGATTGGCTTCGACAAAAAGTGAGGGCGAGAACATGATGGATGGATGGATGGATGGATGGATGGATGGATGGATGGATGGATGGATGGATGGATGGATGGATGGATGGATGGATGGATGGATGGATGTTGTTGTTGCTGCTGTTGCTGTTGTTGCTGTTGTTGCTGTTGTTGTTGCTGTTGTTGCTGTTGTTGTTGTTGCTGTTGTTGTTGTTGTTGCTGTTGTTGCTGTTGTTGTTTCTGTTGTTGTTTCTGTTGTTGTTGTTGTTGTTGTTGCTGTTGTTGTTGTTGTTGTTGTTGTTGCTGCTGTTGTTGTTGTTGTTAGCTGGTTTCGGGGAGTTCCTACCAAACAACAGTCTGAGAAGGCCAGGTGCAGGTGGGTGGCCAAGTCTTGTTAAAACCTGGGGAGGATGAGCCCTGATGACTAAGTTGCTTTCCAAATGGGTTTCAACTATTTTAAACACTTTAAAGTTTAAAGCACCAGATACTCGTACCAAATGTTTCCTATATCCTCCGATTTGGGAATGATCATAGTCATAAACCACTTTCCAGCAGACTTTGCCGAGGTCTTCCGCCTCGGAGATGGGTCCCAGAGCAGGAAACAGAAGGTGCTGGAGAGAGAGGTGCGACGAAATGTGGAGGGAAGGGATTCTGGGCTTCACCAGCAACTTACAGTAGGGAAAAAACATGAAACATCGGGTTTAACCAACCAACATGGTACTGAAGATCAGCAAAATATAGAGATTAATTGACTTAATGATGATTTAATGGTGACATAATGATGATTTAATGGGATTTGATGGATTCCAATTGAGTTTAGGTGATGATTTAGAAGGACGTCCTCCCCTCAGAGGGATATGGAAAAGGGGGACGCCCCGAATGGCAATCTAGCCTGGCAATGGTCAATCCTCCAATAGTAGATAGAATGTCCTCTTTCTGTCCCGAAAAAAGGATTTCCCATTGCCAGGTTAAATGACCCGAGGGTAATACGATGGTATATTATGGTATACTATGGGGTATTTCCAATGCTGAATTCATCATATGAATCCCATTTTTTAGATGTATATAGAATGGAATGAGAATTCCATGGCTGTTGGACTGTTGGACTCCCCATTCTTTTTGGCCGAAATTTGTGATGCCCATGGTGCAGGTTGCCAGGCTCAAGCAGTCGAGCAAGCCGTACGAGCACCTCTTGCAAGCCCAGAATTCTCAGAACGAACGACTGGAGTTGCGAAGTCGGGTGTTTCATAATACCCTCCGGTTATTTAACGTAGCCATGGGAAATCACAATTTTTAACAGGTAAATCATCATAAATCATCGATAAATGGGTCATTTACAATAGCTATGTTAAATAACCAGAGGGTAAGATATATTATGGGGTCATGGGATGAATTATAGTTGGTTACTTATAAACAGTTAATGTTAATAAAGCAATAGCAAAACATCCCCCAATTTGATCCATTTTGGGTGGTTTATTGCTTTACATAACATTATCCCTGAATGCCCCATTGTCACTCATAGTGATAATCCGCAATATCTTGCCCACTACAGCAGTGAACCCCTGAGATACTATAGTAGTGTTGAATCCAGTATGATAGTGTACAAACCCAACTACTTGTAAGATAAGATAGCATGTCATTTCACCCACAAAGGCGTAAACCATGAGTCATTGGGATTTTGTGCTGGATGGATTGTAGCCAGACACCAGTGGCTGTTTTTTTTCTTTTTGGTCGCGGGGGATCAACAAGCCACCACGGCAATTCCCAATGGCAACTGTTTTTTCTATCTATTTTGGGGTTTCCGTTGCTAGATCTGGAACTTAGTTTTGTGGCAAATTAGTTGGATCAGTTGGATGACTGGAATTGGTTCTAATCCTTACTAGACTTTCTTAGAATTTCCCAGTCGTCCCAAGAATTCGCTTAGTTCCAGCCTGGAAATCACAGGCAGCTGCTGAGTTGGTTAGCGACCTCACTGGCCCTCACTATATGATGTGAAAATATATGAAAATATGACCCCTTTCCATTAAGGGAAATGGCCAGATGTTTTTTATGGTTTATTTAGTGCTTGTTTCATCTTATTTCCAGTTTCGGAAGCAATTTTTAATCTTGTTTTCCAGTTGGGGAAGTACCAGCACTATTAATTTGCCCAGACGCATGACATCGCATGACAGATGAGGATATTTACCACTTCAGGGGGGCTGTAAGTCATGATCAGTTTTTTTTTTTAAATGACCTGCCCACCAACCCTTGCCGCCTCCCTTCGCCGCCTCCCTCTCGATTCTTGCTGATCCCCGAACAGAATGCAACGTGTCCTCCCACAAAATGCTTCTAACGGAAAACGGAGAGAATCATCACTCTGGATTTTGGTTTCTTTCTTTCAAGATGATCTCAGTTCTACAATGTTGCACAGTTGCACAAGATTGAAACTGGTTAATGAATGATGATTTGTCTGGCACTGAGGGTGTGAGGAGTGTGGAGCTCTTAGACAAGACGCCAGAAAAGTGGGGCCCTCGGATGATTCAGAGAGAGAGAGAGAGATTGGCACCAAGGTTTTCATGTTGAAATGGAATATACAATCCTCCCCCCCTTAAAAGTCAATACCCCCCTTCTGTTCTGTTCGGTTCTTGCGCCCTGTGCACCCTATGCACTCGTTCATAGTGCAAGTGCGGCGGCGCATGGCTTCAGCCCAAAAACTTGATGGGATAAGGGGCTATTGTAATCGAGGGATGGGATATGATGGGATTAAACCCAGGTAATTCATGGTCATTCCATTTATGACAGAAATGGTAGGATAACCAGATTTCTGTAGATTGATGTAGATTGTACATACACATGCAATCACACGCATATAAAATCATATAAGCCTATGATATCCATCTATCTATCTGTCTGTCTGTCTGTCTATCTGATCCTATCCTATCCTATCCCATTCCATCCCATCCCATCCCATCTCATCTCATCTCATCTTATCTCATCTCATCTCATCTGTCTATCTATCTATCTCTATCTCTCTCTCTCTCTATATATATACCTATGCACATTTTGCACATTTTGGTGGTTGCTTTTGTGGGTGGATCAGGGGCAAAATCGTGGAGTTGGTCGCCCCAGTTCTTGGGAGGTTGGTCCGCGCGGTCACCACGCCAGATTTGGAGCGGTATACCGCTCGGTGGAGGGCTTAGTGAAACTGAGCTCAACCAGCTGGTAATTTTGTTACATAGCTATTGAGAATAGCCCATTTGTAGATATTTATAGTTGATTTACCTATTCAACATGGTGATTTTCTATAGCTATATGTTAGCTTACCAGAAGGTAATTTCATTTAGTGGCTAAAATTCCATAGAGGTTTAGTTCGCAGGGAAAGTCATCGAAGTAACGGAGAGATATTCCCAGCTAGCCATGTTTGATGACACCCGAGGGTAGTTTTGAATAGTTTTGAATACTCTTTCGGCTTTCTCTAGTCTATAGGGATATATGCGAATCAGCTCATTTTCTGTGTGGCATTTGCAGTGAGATTGGGAAGATTGGGCTATAGTATTCTATGCGTATATATATATATATACATACATTAATCTTATGCATGCAGCAACATGCATGTTTATTTTGTTTTGACTCCTCACTCTTGGATCTGTATCCATTGTTTACTGTAATCATAGTTTCATGATGATCAGTACGAGGTGTGTTGGAAAACAAGCAAAAATGCAATCCAATGCCGTTGGCGCAACGAGGCCAGACATGATTAAACTGGCCAACATCCACTTCCACGAAAGCGAGTTCATAGATGGAGTGCTGGACGGCGACTATAGCACCTCGATGATCCTCCGAAATCCCTCGTGGGATTTTGCGAAGCGCCGGGCTCAGAGTGTAACCAGGGAATCTGGGAGATCCGGACAAAATGCGGGAAATGAACATGGATGAAATGGCTGGTGGCCTCCACATGCAATGTATCGATGATATGAAGCATTCTGATACTCTGGAAGATCCCGAGTGGACCCTCCCATGGCTGGGGAAACAGGTGTGACCTCAATTTTTTCCTGGTGCTTTGGGTGATTTCAAGCTGAATGTGTCAATCTGCCGAGGCTTTCGGCCGCCCCCCGGCGCGGTTCGGAGACCTATTTCCAGCCGGGGCAGTACAAGCCAAACTTGGACGCGGTGCGGCCGAAACTGGAGCTGGAAGCTCAAGATCTGTAGCTTCACCAGAAACGCGAAATTCAATGCTGTTACCCTGGGAAATCACCCATAATTACTTTAATTAAGTGGAGGTTTTCATGGGCAAAATTCATCTATAAATGATGGATTTCCCATTGCCATGCTATATCATCCAATCCCCCTAACATTAAACACCTCCGTTCTATGGTCCCAAATTTGTGTAATTCCCCCTGCTAAACCATGGTTTATGGTGGTGTTTAAGATTAGGGGAACCGCTTCAGGACAAAGAACATTCCATTTGACAAGTTCCCGGCTCGCAAAGCTCTGAAGGACGCGGAAGTTCCTAGCTAGGGCCCTCTGGGACTAAGATGACATCACCTTCCAAACTCCAAAAAATCGATGATTGATTTAAACAAATTTAAGGTAATGATTGTCAGTTCTCCGGGGGTGTGTTCGATCGCCCGATTAAAAAAAGACGCCCTCCCAAGTCACGTCGGTAGTGATTTCACCCTCTGGAAGATCCAGTGCCATGGAGCCAGAGGTGACACTGTTCGAATTGTAACCAGGTTGTCCTTTTTGGGTTTCAATCATGTCGATATGTCAATCATTTCCACCCCAAAATGAGATGATCCAACCATCTACTATGCCACGCAGAGATATGATTGATTGATTGATTGATAGATAGATAGATCGATAGATAGATAGACAGACAGACAGAAAGACAGACAGACAGACAGATAGATAGATAGAGAGATAAATAGATAGAGAGATACTACGTACATAGATACATAGATGCATAGATAGATAAATAGACAGATACATAGACAGATAGATAGACAGATAGATAGACAGATAGATGGATGGATGGATAGATAGATAGATTAAATAGATAGATTAAATATATAGATTAAATAGATATATTAAATAGATATATTAGATAGATTAGATAGATTAGATGGATGGATGGATGGATAGATACATGGATATTAACTATTATTATATGTTATATAATGTTTGATTATCCCATGTTTCATTTTACCCCCAAAAAATGATTGGGGGATGTTTGGAGGATGGGTTGAAAACACCAACCATTCATGACATTTGGTGTGACAGGAGACGGTGGGCCGGTTTGAAATCGATGGAAGGGAAGGGGATCATCTCCCTGATAGGCGGGCAGGGGAGCAGCGGTATGTCGCCGTTGGAAGATCGAGAATCCCGAAATGTTCGCTTCATTTCACTTTGTTTCACTGCACGGAAGCCTATCTTTCCTTTTTCTTTTTGAGGGTCTCCGATTTTGGTACAACAGTAACTCCTTTGTCCTGACGGACAGGGGTTACAAGAGTCCCGGAGAAAAGAATATTGATGCAGATTTGCTTCCAGTGGATGAATATACAGTATTATACAGTCATGATTGCCCGGGAACATTGTCCAAGTCGATGTTTGAAAAGGCTCGCTTAACGACCTTCCTGATTTAGCAGCCACAATCCCATGGTTTAGCCTCCGGTCATCGGACGTGGCTTGCTGGAAAATCTTCCATTTATTTGTGTATATAATGGATTTTCCCAGCTATAAATCTCCATTTAGTTCGGGGATTGCTAGTTGCCATGTTTGATGACACCAGAGGGTATATCATGGTATATCCATTATATCATATTATATCATATAGTCCTTATCCCAGTCTCATCCCAGTCTCATCATTATTACCCTCTGGTAAACTAACAGTTTGCTATGGAAAATCACCATTTTTCATGGGAAAATCCACTATAAATTGCGATTTTCCATAGCTATGTTAAATTACCAGAGGGTAAGCCATTCTGAAAATCCCATGATGATCCCATTTCACTTTGAAACTTGGCCGGAGATCCACCATCCGTGCAGGTCCCTGTCGAGGAGCTGTCCATATTTGATGCCCAGACTGCAGAGTCTGCGCCTTTTTGACAGGTCACCTTTGAAGTATGTCACATGAGTGTCATCATACCCTCTGGTAAACAAACATAGCTATTGAACATGGCCATTTATAGTGGATTTTTCCATTAAAACATGTGATTTCCAGTGTGTCATCATAGTCTTTATACTGGTTGGTGGTTTGGAACATGGTTTTTATGACTTTCCATATATTGGGAATTTCATCATCCCAACTGACGAACTTATATTTTTCAGAGGGATTGAAACCACCCACCAGTATATCATTGTCACTCATGTGGGTGACAATAATAAACCACCAATTTGGAGATGGTTTATACCACGTATAAAGATGTTGATTTGGGGGATGGTCTTTTATTGTTTTACTCACAGAACGTATACGAATGTCAACGCAATAACTCCAGATGAACATTGACAAGTCAACGAAGTTTATCCGTCAGCCGGGGTTGACATAGTTCGTGGTCAGAATAGATCCGGCTTTGCCATGAGCTCATCATTTGTTTCAACGTCCAACAGCGAGCTATTCCTGGTTGATGGTTTGGAACATGGCTTTTGTTTTTCCATATGTTGGGAATTTCATCATCCCAACTAACTTTCATATTTTTCAGAGGGGTAGGTATACCACGAACCAGATTTAGGTGATGAAACCCATGCTTTGAAATGCTTTGCCGCCAATGTTCTTTTAAGCCAAGTGAATGATTCCAGAAACCCGCATCCGACCAGTTGACTTCAGCTGGGAATTCCCAATAAGCAGCTCATTGGCAACGAATCAAACCTGTTACCCGGTGGTAATTTAGCCAAGGAATTAGGGAACACCACCAATTTTTCATACATTTTTTCGTAGGTAAATCATGGAACAACATTGGCCATCTAAACCATAGCTATGATAGCTATGGTAAACTACCACAGGGTAGCTTTTAGCGATACACATCAACGGATCACCTGAATCCGAGGCCCGAACCTCTCCAAAGACTCGGAAAGACCGTTCGGGGCCTTACTTAGACCCGGCGAATTCAACGGGTTGAGGTCAGAAAGATGGCGGAAGCTGCTGGGAAGAAAAAGTAGCACCTCATTCTTGATGCAGTTATGGATTTATCGATACAATTTTTGACAATTTGAGTTTGGGGTGTGCAATAAGAGGCCCCATACCTCTTGTGAATGGGTCCGAACTGCCCCTAATTGGCTTCAATTAAGAATTGTCAACTCCTGATTGCCTGTCTGGCAGTTCTGGTAATTATGCCAAGTGTACTTGCACAGTGTCATTTCAACGAGATTTCTCAGGTTTCTGAAATCTGAAATCTGCGTCTGAGGCCCATCATGGGGAGGAAAAAACCTTGGCATGACATCAAGGATCCAGAGGTGGACAGACTTGTGCTGGGCCGGAAGCTCGGTGTTGGATGTGTTGGGTCCACCAAATCCGAGAGATGAAGTCGTTATTTTGTTCAGCTCACTTACCCAGTTCCAATCCTAGGTGCGGGGGTTTAACGGTTAACCCACCATTTCTCATCATTTCTTTCAACTTGGGCAGTTTCTTTCATCAAATGTCAATGTCGTCGGCTTCATAAATATCCCTGGCGGTCGCCTCTAGAAACTTTTCATTCATTCCCACCATGGCCGAGACTATGAGATGACGTTCAACATCATGGATTGCGAAAAGGCCCGGTGGAAACCCTCTAGCGCTGGCGATTTTGGCAAGAGCTTGACGAGGCCACCCAGGGGGGCAGTCAAAAAAATTGCCATTGGCTGTGGAAGTGAAACTGGTGAAACTTGGAAACTACCCAAATTTGAGGGCTATATCGGGTTATAATATGTTATAATTGGATCACCGGAATTTGAGTGGGTTGATGCACAATGTAGGGTGTACGACTAAAAATGACCCAAATGGGATGTTTTCCGTAAATTACCTCAGCTATCAGTGATCCCATGGGCGGCTAAGATTGGTGGAGAGCACAGCGCATGTGCCCAGGAAAAAGCACTTGCAGGCCATGAGGATGTATGGCCAGGAGCCAGCACGAATCTTGTTGATGGGGCTGAGGGGCCGAAACTCATTATTCATCATTATTCTATGATGCTACGGATGCTGATGTTATATGATGTTATCCTAGATCTCCTCGATATTCCCCAGTAGGATGGGCTTTGAACCATTCAGCATTTTTTCTGCGCACTCCTGATGTCCATTGCCTCACCAAACACTGCAGGATGCAGCGCTTCTGAAGGCCAAACAAAACCTCACTGAGGGACCGGTCAGTGTAGAGCTTCTGCAGCAAGCTGAGTTTCAACCATTGGGATCCCATGAAGCTTTGCGTCCGACCAGTGGGACATAGTGGGACCATTTGAAAGCGCTAAGGTCTGACATTGACAGCAGCGGCATGCTTCATCCAAAGGCTGGGTCAAGGAATGCCCAGAGCCTCTGCAGATTGATTTCATTGGGGGCTGGGGGCACGCCAGGTGATGTCTCCAAGGTTCGAATTCATGGCCATGCGTGAGCCGAGCAGTAAATATGTGTTGGGCTTAGCAAAATGCTGGTCCAGTTGGGACAGCTTCAAGTTTTGGCCCAGTTTTTTCTCTTTGGGCGAGTTAGGTTCTGGGCCTTGCACACCTTGGGTTTTGCTTAAGGCAAGCGAGCAGATCTGAACAGTTTTGGCCGGCTTGTGTGTTCATGTTCTCTTCTTCTTGCGTTCATCTTTCTTACGTCACTTGTATACTCATGTCCCCCCCCAAAGCTCATCCCCATCCCTTATTAGTGTGGTTGTTGGTTCATACCCCCGTAATAAACCCTTATCATGCGGGGCGTCACCTTTGCAGGGGGTTTGGTTGAATCACGTTGAATCGCCCTGCGGGGAGCTCCATCCCATGCCGAGGCCGAAGCTCCGGCACGTCTGAAGGACGTGAAGGGCACCAGGTTCAAACGCGAGCTCCGCTCGGGTGAGTCGCTCACCGACGCCGGCAGCACGGGGAGCTCAGCAGTGAGGGCTGTCCAGGGTTGAGGCGTGGAAACAGAGATGGGTCACGACCTGTCATGCAGGGGCCAGAAACTGCCAGAAACTGTTGCGGATTATGATTCAACTATGTAGTAACCCCCAAATAGAATCAAATAGATACCCAAAAATATGTCCATCAGGATGGTAATTAGTTCGATGATGTTTTCTCCAGAATCTTCCAGGTGTTCTGTTTATCTTTTGGGCTTGTGCTACTATACAACTTGACCAAAGATCATGGGTCTGTTGAAGCCTCCCGGTTCAAGGCTGGGCAGCCCATGGCCCTGAAGTCTCATGGAGAAGATCCCTATATTCGCTGCGGAAACATGATTCAGGGCATCCCGTTTAATCCTGGTAGGATTAATTCATGGATGACACACACACACACATATATAATATTAACTATATGTGTGTATGTATCGCATGGAGGGGCTCCCACGTGGGCAGTGGCTCCCACGTGGGAGCTGCGATGTTTTTTTTTTTAATTGTGTCAGTGACTTCCGAGCGGGATCACCGCAAGTGTCAGCACCATTTGAAGACACCAAAAACATCGCCTCGAGCAACTGCCATGGCTGCGCTCAAAACCCTTGATCTTTTCCCGCCGCCTGCCGCAGGCCAGATTTTTCCCCAACCGGGAACTTAGAGTCAATGTCATGAAGTCCTCCTGGCTTCCAGGAAGACATTCCGGCAGTTGGAGTTGGAATGGAATTTCGTGGGTGTAATTATACAAGCGGGGGGCCAGCAAACGGAGGAGATTGTGAGCCATTCGGTTCCCCATGAGGAAGATGTGGGTCCAACAGGTAGAACAGGTAACTATCAGTATTCTTTACCATACTTTACCCATGGAAACGGAAACAGCATCTACAAAGGTACAGTCCAGTAGCTATTCTTTCATTTTGGGGTAGCCTCTGGTAGTCAAACATGGCCAGCTTTAAAATCAGCGATGATTTCCCCAGCTTGGCAGGCCTGGCAGGCTTGCAAGGGCAGCCACAGCGAGCCTTTCGAGGTGGAACTTGTTCGAAGCCATCCCTACAGCATTTTTCAGGATATCTTTGATGGATTACATACTCAGGGATTATGCCCAATAAAACGCTCTTTTGATTTTTTTGAGCGTTTTCTTTTAGGGGTTAGTTGCATTTACTAAACGTGATCAACTAAGTGTCCCTGGTGGACAATTCCAAGAGATTCTGTGTCAGTTTGTTGGCAGATTGGTATGAGGAATGTTGGATCTTGGTATGATACAGCCCCCAATCGTCCCAAAAGATGATGCAAGAGGAAGCAACCACATGATGTGCGTTGCAGTGTTGAGAGTGATCTTTCCGGTCCTCAGCTTCAGTTGCAGCGGACAAATCCATGGCGCGCCACCGTGCTGCCAGGTACCCCCGCAGTTCAGGGGAGATCTGCAGACCGCCACCAAGGAGCAGAGTTCTTGCCCGGCCTGGTCCTGGGGGCAGTTGCACGTGCGCAGAGGACCGAAGGGGACCGGCGGGGGGACCGGCGGGGACCGGGGCTGCAGTGAAAGCCCACAGCATGTTGAGGTATGCCAATATATAATATGCAAAACCGGCCATGAATATAGGTCACTTTCAGGGAAACCATAGATTTACCAAAATTTACCATATCCATGTGAATGCATTCCTTGTTGCATTTAATGGCCCACATGAGGGCGATTTTGGGTGCAAATGTAGGAAACTAATTAATGGAAACTACATATAATATGGATGTCCTGGGACATGGAAACCGTTTCAGAAGATGAGCTTTCTGCTTGAAGTGGCAATTTCTCTGGGGGGTTCATGTTGAAGAACTTCGTGTAACAAGACATCGTCGGATGATTCTCTCGACATTTTCTGATTTTTATTCATCCGGAACATAGGGATCAGATTCCAAACGGCTGAGTTGCAGCCACCAAGCTGTCTTGATAAAGCCATGTTTGGCCGTTTCTTTTCGAGTTTTGAGACTTGCCAGACTGGAGTGCAACAGAAGGGCACTTGGGGTCCCATGTTCGCCTACGGCCACCCCTTGTGACCCTTGGGACCCTGTAGGTCCAAGAGATCCAAGCTGAAAAGATATGGCATGGATGGTCGGTTCCTCAGATCCGTTCCTAAAATTTCGGCATGCCCTGTGATCCCCCAAAACACAGCTAGTAAGTGGTTAATAAGTGGTTAATAAGCCTAATCTACGCCGGTTATGTAAATTAATGTTATAGAATCCAGTGATATGTACGTATATGTACTGATACTTGAAAACACTGAGGTATCTACCATGTATATAATTATATAACTATATCATACTATATTTATCTATCTATATTTATTTATTTACTCACTTGTTCGTTTGGTTGTTTGTTTGGTTGTTTGTTTGTTTTTTGTTTGTGTGTCTACTTGTTTAATTTGTGTGTGTGTGTATGTTTATATACTTACACGCATATGAATATAAACACCGGTTCCCTCAGAAACTAGTCAGTGATACCCGCTAGATATTTGGACAACTAGTCTCAACTTGAAGTGGCCACTGAGGCAACTGGAGTGACAGGCTCGATGCTGGAAGGCCATGGGAACAAGAAACGTGCAGGATATGGCCAATATTACCAACCAAAAAAGGAACATAATTCATTCGAAAAATAGGGATGTGACCTCACTGCCCATGGTTATCCAAAAAGAAGAGGGATATGACCGCAGAGGGAGATTCTCTATATGTCTACGAACGGTCTGTTTCCTTGGATCATGCGACTGTGCAAGTGATTTGTAGCTCTGTTCAGGCGGTCAATGGGGTTTGACCATGGGCAACATCCAGGTGTCCCCATTTGCATGCCAATTTTGTCGCCTATGTGCCCACTAAATACTACACGTGATGTTTCAAAAAATACGCCAGAAAAAAACTATAAGATTGAATCCTTATTGAGTTTAGAAGCTTATTTTCCCATTGGACATTTGGTGTGTTCACGGTGACGTCCCTTCAGTTGTTTGAATATATATGTATGTATATATATATATTATACTGTTATATATATAATCTAACATTATATATATATAACATTATATATATATATCAGTTTTTCATTGGGCGGCTGGTAGATCATCAGTCATTTTGTCTTGGCAATTGCGGATCCGGCAAGCAGAAATGGCAAAGAACCACTGGAAGCCCCCAGACATGATCCAATGAAGCTCTAAATTGGATACATTTCCATTGATCATCCCATTTCTATTTATTAAAATCAGCAAGACACAAATGATTATACACATATGTATACTATATATATATATACTATATGTATATATATATATGTATACTATATACTATTAAATATTTACAGAATACATGTAGGACATATGGATCAACCACCTTGAGGCCCTTGCGCGTGATCATCGCGGGAGGGGGGCCCGGTGGCCTGGCGTTGGCTCGTGGCCTGGTGCAGTTGCCAGGCCGACCGATTCAATCGCCTGGTGAAGGGAGGGAGCTGTGGAGCTATGGTTCCTTAATGTTCCTTAGCCAAGGACCATAAGGACCGAGTTCCCAACACAATGATGGCTGGGATTGCTGGAATGACATTCTGAAAAACTCATTTTCTGAGAAAAGAGTTGGACTTGAACTTTGGCCCCATTGGAAATTGGTGCCTGCCAGACTTCTTTTTTGCTGCCACTGCTGGGCTTTTTCCAAAGGCTATCCTTGATTTGATGGATTATAGCATATTACACCTACATGATGCCATGCGCTTCGATTTTCGGATATTTTCAGTGTTTTTTGGGTTGGGATGGATGGAATAGACCACAGAATAACATCCTTAAAGTTGTTTCCTTTTTGTGGGGGCAGGGGATCCGCAAGCCTGCGACGCAGGCCTTGAGATTCGAATTCTGGAAGGAAGACCTGAAGTGAAGACAGGCGCGCCATAACGATACAACTGGGCCCTCCTGGCTCAAGCCTGCGGTTACAATGTTACAGATGTTTCTTTTTAGCCTTCCAAAATTTGGGAAAACAGTGGTCGAATAGACATAACACAAATGATAGAAATTATATAGATAGACGGGGTCTATCATTACATAATCATCATTATTACATAATCAGAAATCATTACATAATTGCACAACTTGTTCAATTTTTGCCAGCATGGCTTTCACCTTGCGAGGAGCCAGAGCAACTGGAAGGTCACACACCATCGGCCTGGGTCGTAGGGCCAGGGAGGCCGCTGGGTTGGTGTACAGGGCGGGGCCCCCGCTTCCAATGGTAAGTTGGGTTTGTTACTAGGTGCAGTTGGCTTTATTGTTATTAATGCTAGTATAACATAGTATAACTATAGCCATACTATGGCCTATATGTATAGCTACTTGGGATTACTTGAGCCTGTAATCCAACCTCTTTTGGATGAAAACATACTGCTTGAAAACATGATGAAATAGGATGGATACATGACTTCGGGTCCATGACCGGTTACAAGTTCCGGGGGGTTCGACGACGTCCAGGCCATTCTCCAGGTGGGGGGCAAGCAGGCATGGGAGCAACTCTGCTCCAAGGGAATTCTGGCCGATGGCTTCACTCTCCACCTCAATGGAGTGGCTCTGGCTGCAGATTTGGGGCAGTGGCTACCCTAAAATCCTTGAGACGGAATTTGAGAAGATGTTTCTCAAAGCATGCTTTTCCATGATTTTCTAATACGTAGTTCTAATCTCTCCTCATGTTTCATATTGCAGTTCCACTGAATAAGTGGGTCTATGGCCACAGGTTTTTTGAGGTTATACCATGTTCAACCGACTTAGGCCAACCCCCTGGACGCCCTAGCAACAAAAATGGGGGCTGGTTTTCCATTTACCTATATATTATTAATATCACCACAACTGCACCTCCAAGTGTCTCAATTTTCCCCATGTGGGTTGGGTTGGGAACATGCTTTACCCCATATTTGTGCGAAAAAAAGGGGATTCAAAAAATGTTTCAGCTGAGTAAAGTTTCCCTTAACACCACAAACCGATGAATTAAATCCACAATTTCACCCATATTTCACCCATTTTTCCAGATTTTTTGGTGCCACATTTTTCGGCAGAGCACCCCAGCCTGGTGACCCAAGGTGCCACTGTCACTTCCTCCACCGGAGGGTGAACCGGTGGTTCTGGTGGACCGCAGTGCCATCGTGGCGGAGCTCAAAGATCTGCTTCCCGGCAGGGGGTCACCATTTTTTTGGGGAAGAGTCCTAACAACTAACAACCATGACAAGATCTATATATTTATATACAGTGTTTTGTTTTTTTCTGTTTGGCTAGATTTGGATTTAGAGTGCTAAACATGACACGTGATTAAAAGGCTGTTGAAGTAGCTTGGCAGGAGAACAACAAACCGCCAAGTTGGGGGAATTGAGCATCAAAAATGGCGGTTCAGCCATTAAAAATATATAGGGGCACCAGGTTGAACAGGGTTGAACATGTATGAATTCTTGGAGGTTCGATAGGTTGATTCTCCTCCATGTTTGATGGAGGAATGAGGTAGGCTTGATAGGCCACCGGAAGGCTTATTGAATTTCTGAATGGCTGATGTCTAGCCATTTTGATGCAACTACTTCCACAGATAAGGCCAGCTGATCGATTACTCAGGCTGATGTCGAGCGATTTCGCTGCGGGCACGGACGTGAAGATCGAGTACTCCACCCGGGTGTCTTGGAACTTCTGCGGAAAGAGTCCGGTTGAAATCCAGAGCTAGCTGGACAGCCATCTAAAAAAAGTGGATGTTGCAGTCCTTTGTTGATCTGTCCATATCTATATTATAATATGTCCACACATACACGTTGTATATACATACGTACATAGAAAACTATAATATATCTATGTATATCATTGTATATCAATATGTAATAGTAATATCCTTGCATATGTTTTTCAAGACGCGAACTGTCCAGTTCGATGGGAGCTTGTTGTTTACAATAGTGTTATACTCTCCAAACTTTTATACGGACCGGAAACTGTGGAGCTGACAAATTCATTACTTTCTCGCCTTGAAAATTTCCAACTACGTGGGCCAAGAAAAGAAATTGACGTGGTGTATTCAAACATGCTTACATGAAAGAAGAGTCAAGTTGAATGGACACATTCTGAGGGCTGATAATTAAGACCGGATGAATCCGGATGAGACAAGTCAGCCTGAGAAGGGACAGTGCCGCCCCATGCACCCCGATCTTCAGAAGAGACGACCTAGAAAGAATGGGTTGGTGACTTCTTTAGGGTTAAACACCCTACACTAATGCCAATGAACGGCAGCGGCAGATCTTGTTGGATGCAAGAAATCGATCCTTTTAAGCCTTGTTCATGCCACTGTCCATCAGATGTCCATCAATCACCATCGCTAATATTCCATCTATTTCCCATTGACGTGCCTGAGGGGTTATCCATGGTTATCCCATTCCGTTTCGCCAGTTTTGCGTGTCATTTTGATGCTCTTGATTGCTTTTCCCTTGTTTCACATTGCCTAGTGTTCGAATTTCATTGGAGGTGCCAAACGGGCGCTTGTCCAGGGAGGGTTTAACACGACACCTAAGAATTTAATGTAATTAGTGCGAACTGCGTATTTCTTCCTCGTGTCTTGGCATGCAGCAGAAAAATATGCAATAGCTTATATCGTATCAGTTATTTTTCATCTATCATCTATCTAAAGTCTATATGGGGGTTTTCTTAAAATGGGGGATCCCCAAGTCACCATGGCTTTCAATACTAAAATATCCTTAAAATGGTCAATTGACGGGATGATTTGGGGATATCCCCATTTTTAGGACACCATATTTCCAGATCTCATATCTATACCGACCTCAGGTGCACACTGTGGATGTGGTCCACCGCACTGTCACGGTGCGGCGGGGTAGCGGCGAGGCACATCGGCAGATTCGTCCCAATGGGCTTTCTGTAGTTGAATTGATTTGCTCATTTGATGATTTTTAAACATTTCTTGGAAAACACATCTTGGTGGGATACTCCTATAGGAAGTTACTGTAATTGGTTAATACTGTTTGGGGGCTGGAGGCTCCAAAAGATTGTTTTAAGGGAAGGCCTACAGGGACCCGTTGTTTTTGCAAACAAATCTGGGACTTCCCTGCAATTTTTGAATCGGAAGATTCGGTAGGCCATTTCCGCTGACAACAGGCATGGCTGGAGGTCCAATTTTCTCATGAAAATGCAGCATTTCTCGAAAGGTAGCGGTGAGCTACCTGAGTTCCCCCTTGCGTAGCAAGTATTAGGGGGCGAGCGGTGCAAGTGCAAGAGTTTGGGCCGGTTATGTCTCGGTCCGCCTTTCAAGGGGGGGGGGGCCCCCTGTTTTTGTTTCGACCTAATACCTACATAGGTACATGCATGAGTATTGAGCACATTTATATGCGCCCCTCAAGGCTCAAGAGGTATATAGAGTAACCCTGTAGACAAGCACAGACCGGCAACAGGCTGAGTAAAACAAGTGCTGTCATTGGGGAAGACGCCTTAGCTGATCTTGAAGTAGACGCTAGGGCCCCTCTTCAAGTGGTAGCGGAGCAGTGATCCCTCATTGAGGGTGAGCTCCAGGTAGAGCCCAAGAAATGGCAAGCCATGGCTATGATGATGATGACTTCGACATTGTCGATGCAAATGAATGGAACCAATATGACTCTTATGCAATGAGAAGAGCACCCCAGCAAACACAGATTCATATGACGCAACAGATGACCACAAAGGTTGCTCCAGCCTATGATGGGCGAACCAGCTTCTTTGCTTTTGAGGATGCAATTGATGACTGGTGTGACATTACGGAGTTAGAACCAGAGAAACGTGGTCCAGCATTGCGCAACAGACTGGAAGGAGATGCTCAACAATACAAGAGGCTATTGGATAGAGAATTACTCAGGGATCCCTATGAAGGAGTGGCTTATTTCAAAAGATTTCTACGACCTCATTTCATCAAAGGTGCCCAGAACGTGTTCTTATACCGTTTCATGCAGTTCATGAAGTTCAACAGAGGAACCATGGATCTTCAGAAGTGGATGACTAGATTTCAACTCACTGGCAATAGACTTATTGAGTCTTGGATGGATTTACTTCCAGAAGTAACAGTGACTAGTCCTGAAGCAATCCTGTTTGTTCAACAACGACGTCAAGAACATGAACGAGATCAACAAGAGAGAGCTGAAGTAGCAGCAGCCTCAGGAACACCCCATGTAGCTGTTCCTTGGACAGATGAACTGGCACTAGCGGCATTCAGACAATTTCAGGAAAATCGTAGAGAAGCACAGCGACAAGCATTCCCACTGGGTGAAAATTTGCTAGCATTGATTTTTGTAAGTCTAGCTGACCTGAGTCAAGATCAGAGAAACACACTCACAAGTATCATGACACATCGTGGACGAACCCTCGATCGATACAGCATTCAAGAACTACGTGACCTGTTCTTGGAAATGTTTTGCACTACCAAAACAGCAGTTGACAATCCATTGATGCAACCCTCTGGCATGGCACAGAGAAGATCTTTCCTCGTACTGGATGAAGGTGAATTAGAAGGAACCGACGGCTATTGGGCCGAAGATGAAGAAGACGGCGCAGAAGGATTCCTGGATGCTTTAGAAGATGTTTTCTGGGTTTATGATGACGCCAACTTCACATGGTATCAGAGAAGGTTCCAAGGCAAATACATCAGACGAGGCAAAGGTAAAGGAAAGAGAAAAGGAAAAGGAAAAGGCAGAGGAGGACGAAGATTCTTCCGATCAAGAAAAGGAAAAGGCCGAGGAAAAGGAAGAAGGAAAGGCCGCTCTCACATGGTGAGTGAAGAAGGTTATGAAGATGAATGGCAAGATGATGAATGGAATGAAAACTATGACGGCTATTGGGCCGATGATCAAACCTGGAATGAAGGCTATTGGGCCTATGATGATTCATACTACATGGATGAGTATGGATATTTCCAGAGGAAAGGAAAAGGAAAAGGAAAAGGAAAGAAAGGCAAGAAAGGCAAGGATGATGATGGAAAAGGAGGAAAGCCAGGAGATGGAAAAGGCAAGTCGAACTATGTTCAACCTCAGACCACATCAGCTCCTGCCATACAGAATCAACAAACTCAACAAGCTCATTATTCTTCTGCAGCTTCAAGTTCTGGTCATGGTTTCTTTTCATTTGGAACAACTGAACCAGCACGTGTTGATGTTGCAGAGACAGAGCCAGCTCGTGTTGATGTTTTGACATCCACGTATGCAGCACAAGATGAACAACGACGCACTCGTCGTGGAGGACAGAACCAACGTGATGCAAGAGCACCGCAAAACAGGAGAGAAATGAAGAGATTCCCTGTTCTGGTTGGAGAAGTTGGTGCACTACGACAAGGTGTACAACAACGTCCAGCTGTAGTGCCCAGGCAAGTTGGTCTTCAAGAAGGTGAGGCTTCATGGAAGCCATTGGCAGAAGGCACATCATTGTTTTCATATGGATGCTCTACAGAGATAGAGGAACCATCACAGCAGAGTGCTTTTTCATTTCATACTGTACAAACTGATCTGGCATGTGAGAATGGACTAGCTTTTCACACAGAGAATTCTGCACCACCAACTGTGTGTATTCTGGATCTTGGATGCACAAGAGCTATGGGCTCTCGACGAGCAGTTGAAGCATTTTGCAGATATGTTGACTCACATCCCAACAGTGGACTCTGGTATGAAATTCAGCCAACAAGTTCAAGATTCTTCTTTGCAAACTCACAACAATCAAAATGTACTGAGAAGCTCGTGATATTCATGTATGATCATGGATGGAACACTCAGTTTACAGAATTCGACATTGTCGAAGAAGGTGATGTCCCATTGTTGATGTCACTTCCACAGATGAGAAACCTTGGATTTCAATTTGAACTTACTCCAGAGAAGGCTTATTTGTCCTGTGCACGTATTGGCATGAGAAAAATGGTTTTGAGGACAGCCATCAGTACTCATCTCATTCTCGACCTACAAGATGTAGCATGGTACATGAGCCAAGTTCATTTCAAGACTCCACAAGTCAAAAGTTTCTATTCACAACACGATCACTTTGAGTACAGTCAGATTGCTGTCAAACAAGATGATCATGAAGGAGAAGCTTTGGTGACTGGTGACTACTGGCAGGTTGATCCACTACGTCGTGAACTCATCAGGCACCACAAGGACAAGAGAATGAACTTACATGAGATGACTCGATCAGAGAAAACTCCAATTCCAAAAGATCAACTTCTTGATGAGAGAGAAACCCACATGGAATTCCAGAAGAGCAAGAAGAAGGTTCTTCACAAGGACAACTGGCGCACTGAGAAGAAGAGGTTTTCTGAACAGAGTGAAGAGTTCTGGAAGGGCAAGACCATCTACAAGATCAAGGAGGACTACGTGATCCCAGATGACATTGTCAGAAGTGACATTGATCGTGCAAAGCCCTTTCGTGGAAACATTGATGATCTTTTTCACCCTGAGTCAGCCTCTTCAGTGCCATCAGGTGTACAGAAGAAGAAGCCAAGCTCCTTAAAGAAGGAGGAAGGCAAACCGATTTCAAATGGACCAGGCTCGAAAAAGATTGAGGTAGGTCCACCTGCAGCCAAAAGACACGTAGGTAAGCAGAAACCTCAGGTTGTCGATGACTCTCAATCAGGTTCATCAAGAAAGAAGGTTGTTGTCTCCTATCCCAAGCTTGATGAAGAAGATGAGCTTGATAAGGTAGCTAGGGAATTAGGTTTGGACAAAATTGATTCAGATGAACCTCAAGTCATTGAACCAAAACATTCTGCACCTGCGCGCAACCGTGGTAAGCAAGATTCAGAAAGTCAAGTTGAGAAACTAGGTAGTGATGCTCTTGAGCCTAGGCGAGTTTCGATTCCACTGCCTGGTAGTGAAGTGCAAGCCATGACACCAGCATACAGAAAGATGCTCAGGAAACTGGAGGATAGTGTGGAACTTTACAAGCTTCATTCAAACACTATCACATGTCTCCTACTCAATTCAGACGAAGGACTTCCATGTTAGGACTTCCTGACTCTGTTTATCAGAAGTATGAGGAGATGTACAACAAGTGTCGTGTGTGTAGTACTTCATTGCACCACCGCCGCGAGCCAGAATTTCAGGCATACGATCCACCAACTTTGGAGATGTTATCTTTGTTGATCATGCTGAAATTCAGTTGAGGAAGAACAAGTACATGGTGTTGCTTGTTCTTGATGGTGCAACCAACTTACTTTGGGCTACGGCACAAAACTCACTGAACAACAAGGAGACCATTCAGGCTCTAAGGTTGTGGAGTGATGAACACAATTGTATGCCTAAAGCCATCGTGGGTGATGAAGCTTTCTTTCAAGAAGACTTTCTGACTTATTACCGAACTCATGGTATCAAGGAATGTCCCTGTGGTTCAAGAACCCCATGGCCTAACAGAGCTGAATCAGCTGTCAGACTTTCAAACGACAATGGCAAATCATGTCCAAGAACCTTGAAGATGATAGGTTCAAGGGAATCACCATCAGAGAAGCTGTGAAGCGTACTGTTTGGGCCAGAAACACTCAACTCACTGTTAGTGGTTATTCTCCTTTGGAAATTGCCACTGGTAGACGACCACCAGATCTTCTGGATATTGAGACTTCTGATCCTGCTCAACTTAGTGTTGACCCTTTACCTGAAGACAGAACACAACTCGAGTTGCAAAGGTTAGCACTGAGGGCACATCAGGAAGCCAGACAAGCTGCTGACCTCAGACATGACATGGCCAAACGAACAATGCCATCAGATGGACCTTACAAACCAGGTGACAAGGTTTTCGTTTGGAGTTCCCCTGTCAATGCTAATGCTATTGCTTCAAAGGCATGGAAGAAGGAAAGATGGATCAGAGGTACTGTTATCTCTCAAGAAGGTG